GTGTGAGATGAGTGGTGTGTGAGATGAGTGGTGTGTGGGAGGAGCGGAGGGGCGGGAGGAGGCGCTGGAAGGAGGCGGAGTGAGACTTAGAAAAGAAGAACCCCACACTAAGATGTGGGGAACAAAAATGTTCAGACCACTCCACCTGAATTCGTGAACATTGGAGAAGCGAACTATCTCAAATTTATTCCACGAACAGATGAAGCATACTTCGATGCCTGCGCGGCTATTGAAGCAGAAGGCAGCAAGACCAAGAGGGCAACCTTGGAAAAGGCCAATGGAATTAAATGGCTTTTGGGCGCTCTGCTCTTTGATGCAGAAGCGCGCCAGCACCTACCCCAAGTATATCCAACACGGATGTGCTTATTTCAGCAATGGAGTGGTTTCGTGGGAATGCGGAGCCCTCATAAAGCATTTGGAAAGCTTGGGAATGCAAAGGTCAGATCTTCTCTCCGCCGCCCAAGCAGTGGAATGGAAGAAGCAGTTTAATGGCTGGCGTTTTCTTCCGTCGGAAATCGAAAGGATGTTTGGGGAAAAGTTGTACGACAGCGGAGGCTATAAGGGACAGGGTATAGACTGCCAGTTCCTGGTGCCTTTGTTGCCGTATTATGTAGAACTGGTGGCTGACCATGTCGGTGAGCTCACGCCGAAACTGGTGTCCTTCCGCGCCTTGGCCCGTTGTTGTCGAGAACTTTGGAAACTGAGATTCAGATACCAACCTATTGTGGATTATGAACCTGTGCTAGAGTTAGCCAACAGACAATCAGAGCACCAAACTACGTGTTTGGCAGCTTATGAAATCACTTTCATCCGACCTAAACACCATCATCGCCTCCACATACCACAAGCATGCGTCGTGTTAGGTGCACTGCCTTCTTGCGCAGCAATGGAGAAAAAGCGCCGATGCTTAAAAGGTGGCGGCCTGTTCGACAAGACTGAGTCCCTGGTGAACCAGTCTGCCAGGTGGCAAAAAGCAGTGAACCCCAAAATGCTAGAGCTCAGCTGGTCAAATACAGAGTCATTCCATCACGCAAGCCTAAGTGCGGCCATCAAGCCGGCCAGCGCTGGGGATCAGGCTGCATTCACAGATACAACCCCCGGCAAAGCGCAGAATGTCATTTGGTCTCAAGGAGACTGCGCGCGGCAGACGCGTTGCTTTGGGAAGGTGAGTCAGCTGGCCAGATTGAGAACATTGTGGAAGGTGACTCTACCGCTATACACCTGGAACTCAAAATGATTGAATATGTGTCCTCCTTACCTTATGGCAGTCTGCAGATCTTGGTATGAACCCAAGATCAACAGCACATATTGCGTAGCAATGTGGTGGCGCTGGGATGGTGACAATAATTTCCTCCTATGTTTGCACTGAAAACGTTTCGCGAGTCGAAAAAAAGAGAGTTCTTGCGTAAAATAAACGAATCCAAAAAATATATTTGAAAAACCAAGGCCTACTTAAGCCCTACTTATAACCTAGGTTTTAACTCCTATAAGTCCACTTATGCATAAGTTCGATAACTAAGTTATAACATCTACAAGTTAGTTACAAAAAGCCACAGCCACATAGTACCTAGCTACTAGCTACCTCTAGCGGCCTACCACCCAAAAAATGCAATAACATATATAACGTAACGCATAAAATAAGCGAAGACAAATCCTTTTTTGGACATTTCTTGGACTTTGGAACGAGAAACTCCTTCCAGGACGATTTGGCGAAAGCAGACGCACAAGTGGATAGCATCCTGCATCGGCTGGAGCGGCAGTGGGGAGCAAAGCGCAGAACACGAAGCAAACAAGAAGCAAAGAAACACAGAAATGCGCAAACATTTGCGCAGCGCAACTTCTGTATTTCTCCCGTTTGGATCTCAGAATGCCATTCTGTACCTGGACCAACATCCGGTCGCTTCAGCATGCTTTCCAAGGTATGTGGAGTTGGATCCCAAAGCGAAATTTGTGGTGAAGTCTCAACGGAAGGATTTCCGGTTCTCGTTTTGTCTTCTCTTCCCTTTGTTATACATATGTTTGTTTTATTGTTTTATACATTTGGCTATATCTGTTTTATTGCTGTTTTCACCAAACAGTGTGGACACACTTAGGGGTTCTTACGATAGGACTGAAGTAGCAGCTGATGCTTAGATCCCTGCGGGCGGCTGTGGACGGCTACTTCGCTGCTAGTTACAGTACATTCATGCCTTTCGACATCGTCAATGTGCACTTCGACTGCGCAGGCTCGCAGAATCTGGGTGGCTGGAGCGTGTGCTTGTCGCGACTGCGCTCTTGTTGTGGCGCCGTGCTCATTTTCGCACATGGTGATCACTTTTCGTGGCAGGCGCAAGGGAAACCTCGTGCTTTGGTGCTTCAAATCGACTTTTCGTGACAGGTGCAATTAACCCTACAGATCGGGCAAGATAATTTTTAAATACAAAAATTAACTATATAGTTAATTTGATTTCATCTTTTCGTGAAGAAATAGTTCAGTTAATGTTTGCTAACTATTTTTGAGACTTCTGGAGACAATTTTGTTTTTGTTTCTTTTCTTACATAAATGTTTGTAGACAATTCTTGAGGCAATTCTGGTGACAAATTTCTTGGGTCTATTTTGATTTTTTACCCCAAACAGTGTGGGCACACTGAGGGGTTCTTACGGTAGTAGAAAAGCCGGCGCGCTTAGATCGCTGTTCCGTGCGGGCGTGTGCGGCTGATTCGCTGCTATTTACAGTACATTCATGCCGCTCGACATCGTCAATGTGCACTTCAAATGCGCAGGCTCGCAGAATCTGGGTGGCTGGAATGTGTGCTTGTCGCGACTGCGCTCTTGTTGTGGCGCCGTGCGCATTTTCGCACGTGGCAGGCGCAAGGGAACCTCGTGTTTTGGCGCTCCAAAGTCGACTTTTGGACATGTGGCTCGTTTGCAGATTTCGTGGCAGGCACAGCACTCTGAGACCCTCGATGCAGATTTCAATGTTTCAAGTTAGATGTATTTACTTAAGGAAGCTATAGGCTAAGTTGAAGCAACGTACAAAACACGTACCAAGTTACATATCACCAAATTAAAGTTGAGGGTCCTGAGATACAAAATGATTCGGTCACAGCTGGTGGAGACCCTCACCAAGCAGAAGGAAGTGGTCAGCACTCAGGGGGTGGGAGGTGAGTTCCTACCCCTCGAGGTTTATGCTGCCAAAGGATACAACGTCGATTTGATTCGCAATGGTTGCGAGAAGGAAATTCATCCCATTTTGGGAGAGACATACCTTCTCCCGATCAAGCGCAAGGACCGTGCAGAGATCAACAAGGAAGTTGAAGCAACTGTGGTTGCCGCCGAATCCCAAGCCAAGAAACGCAAGATGCCTCAGGAAGAAGCGCCGAAAAGAGTCAAGGGAAAGCAACCAGATGTGCAGCCTACGCCTCTCACTCAGGAGCAGAAGGAGATGGGCACCCTTCCAGGGCACTCTGGCTAGTCATTTTTTTGCAGTTGAAATTGTTTTGATCTAGTGAATCATGTTTTAAGCATAAAACTGTCACAAATAAGATTATAAAATGATCCAGAATTATTCAAATAAGAGTGAAAATGGCTCAAAAAAGATTCGACCTGATTTGGAACCAAATTCACCAACGAGTAAAAGTATGAGTGAACCAAAAGTGTTTTCACGAGTAAGTCCACGAGTGAAGTTGCAGTGAACTTGCAAACAAAATCAAAGTTCAACATTTCCTTTTATACGATAAGTTGACGAGTCGGGCGACAAGTCAACTTTCAAAACACAATGAAAGAAGTACTAAGTACAAACGGTTCCTTTACGATAATCAACGAGGCCAGGAGCAGTGTGCTGTCAGGAATTGTAACAAGTTACTTGTTACAATCCCTGACAGTACAGTGCTCCTGGCCTCGTTGAAAGCTTCTGAAACTAATAAGTTTTGGCTGAAGAGCTCTGTGCTCGCAGGGATTGTGACAAAGTAAGGTTTTTGAAACTAGTCAAGTTTTGGCTGTGCTGGCAGGAATCGTAAGAATTTCGAACAGTCAATAAAATTGGCTGCTGAGCACTGTGCTGGCAGGGATTGTTAGTGTAAGATTATTGAATCTAGTCAATTTTTGCTGAAAAGCGCTGGAATCGTAACGTAATTTTTTTGAAACTAGTCGGGGTTTGGCTGAAGAGCACTGTACTGCGTTTTGTCGAACTTCAACGTGCAGATTTCGTGGCAGGCACAGCACTTTCTGAACCTCGAAGTGCAGGTTATGTGTCAGACGCAGCGCTTGTGCTCTCAGTCGCTCACTCTCTCTCACTCTCACTCACGCACGCTCACGCTCACGCTCACGCTCACGCTCACTCTCACTCTCACTCTCACTCTCACTCTCACTCACACTCACTCTCTCTCACTCTCACTCTCACTCTCACCCACACTCACTCTCACTCTCGCTCTGACTTACACTCACACTCACACCCACTCACTCACTCACTCACTCACTCACTCTCTCACTCACTCACTCTCACTTACTCACTCTCACTCTCACTCTCACTCTCACTCTCACTCTCACTCTCAC